TCCTAATATATATATATATATATGACACACTTATTAAAAATGAGTATTTCTTCATTTCATCAGCCACATTCAAAATTTCACAAGTTGGTTTTCATTCTCTTATAAACATTCTGTCCATTTTTAATTATTGTCTCAAGGAATATTTTCAAAATTTATGATATCAACTGAAGTAAGAATACATAGTGCAAAGTGGTAAATTTTTATTTTCTTGATGTTTATATAAAATTTGATATGAAATAGTATAAGGCCTTAGGGTTAATTTCTATATTAAATCCTACGGGATAGACCATTTTGTTAAATATGTAAATCGTACGTGATATACGAATTCTTAAGAAATTCTGTGAGATATTGGACATTGCGACCCGTTTGCTCTAAATCTCAGAAAAGTCAATTTGTTATGTCATTTCATATTTATATCATATTAATAAGAATATGCGCTATTTGTTATTTAGCATTTTCAAAAAACTCACTCTTACAATAAGTTTTCAGATTAAAACGGGTTGTATGGATGTGTGGCATATTAATTGAGTAATGTTTATGGGGTCGTCAAGTAAAATTTCTAAAAATGATAATTTGCAAATTTCCTTTGTCCTGTTGAAGAACATCTTTATGTTAAATTCTGTGCACAGTATTTAGCAGTTTTCTTGTGTTCGAAGATTTGACATTTTATATTAAATTTGAATTTATGGTTTGAAATCGTAGTACTTTAAAGTTTTATTTAATATGAAAAGTTTCACTTAAATTGTTAGTTTATCATTATCGACTTATCAACCAAATTTCAAATTTTAAATTAAAGGGAATTTTCGCTTAAATTAGAAAAGATGATTTTTTATTTTTATTTTTTTGTAACACTTCAAGTTATTTTTATTTTAAAAAAATAGACTTCGGGCGTTACAAGCTGTTTACACTTTGAAATTACAACTCGTCATACGATCGAGTATTTCCAATAACTCTTCCACACTTCGGATGCACATTCGATTACGTTTCTGCACAAAAAGTGCTTGAAATTAAACTTCTCGTGCACATTTCGAACGTAACGCATTCTACATGTCCCCTATCATAAAATTGTTGAAAATGGTATAGTATATCGGAACCCTTATATGGAGCCATGTACCTAGTCGATAGACGAACCCTAAATCTATCAGATAATATTTTCTAGGTGCTAGTTGCGAAAAGTGAATGTTAGGGCTATGTATGGCCCAAGCCAAGATTCTAGCATCATGAGTATTCCTCGTTGTCCCAGCCAGCACAAATGTGAGATACAAGTTAAAATCACATGCCGCTAGTACATTCCATATAGATATTCCTTTGCGTTCTATAAAATTCACTTGCTAGTCTTGCGGGAGGATGGCTCTGACGTGAGTGCTGTTGATTGTACCTATGCAATCATCGAATAGCGAATGCTTGTTCCGATTGGGGACATGATGCTCAACACAGTGATTGTAGTTTGAATATGGTCGAATTATGTTTTTGGACAACTCGAGGACCACTCCAAGCACAAGTTTGAAGTAGTGTATGATGGTTTCCAATTAATGATTGAAAAGCATTTGAACCTATCGGCTGCCTTTTCCATGCAATAAAATGCTTAGAAACATATATCATACAAGTCTATCGCTTGCGAACTGCACAATTAATATTTGTCGCCAAGGATGTGAGTGAATGTTCGCAGTATTGAAGGATAAACACGGAACTCTGCATAAAAATACTATTGCATACTGCATTTCATAGCATCTAACATGAACATATAACTGTTCCGTGCGAATAGAAATCGAAAAATATGACATCTTTGTTCGTAGTAGTAGTTACTTATAACAATTTGGTTGATACGACAGTATCGGAACCATTCGATGATATCCGCCTATAGCTCTTCCATAAATGCCTCCTCACCAGGTTCGTCCTCGCCATCGGAGGCTGGCAGCAAGACACAATTGATATCAAAATGTGCCATACCACTACTATGACATAAGATATCAAAATCTGTAAAAGAAACAATGTAGGTTGTATCCAACCATGCCTTTGGGGGTATGTAAAAATGTGCAGATATGCGTTGCCTTTTATAGACTAAGGTCACTAATAATTGTATGCCAATGAAATGATGAGTGCTACAAGTAAACCAAAAAAATTAAAGTTCAATAGGTGAGTGATGTGAAGTGTACTTGTCCAATGGAGTACTTATTTGAAAAGATTAACAAACATCCAACTGCATTTTTTTGTAGGTAAGCATGGTGAAAATCTTTGCAAATCAAAGTTGAAAATTCCAAGTATGGTGACAACATATACGAACCAAAATGTTTAGCATTGCCATATACATGGCATGCACTATTCCATCATACATACTAAATTAAAACATAATGAAATTCCAACAAATGTTTTCTCGTGAATTGGAGTCCATGTACCTCCATATCGAAGGTCACACTCAACTCTCAGTATGGCTGTGTTCTTCGGTACTCCTGTCAATTCCAATTGACCCCTCAAATTCTTTGTTCGCATCGTCATGCATGTTCAATATCTCCCTAATGCGCTTTTGGGACAAAAAGGTGCATGTCCAGAAGTACAGATCAATTTGTTTTTTCAGTCTATTAGTCGCCAGTAACTCTTCATACATGTCCTTGGGTTCGAGACAGTAGGTACAATGAAGTTGTCGATTTTGG